TAGACTTTTTCTCAATCTACTCTCAAGTTGGGCTCTCTCTTCATTGTACTCAGAGCCTGCAGGGATGCGTTCACGTGCATCCATTAGTTCAGAAGAAGCTGCTCATATCCACTGGCTCTTCTTAGCCACTCTTTCGGAGTCGGCTACGGTCTTCAGCGCAGCTTTTACAACAGACTGGAGATGGCACTAAGCTTCTTCTGGATGACCGATAGTCTTTCGTTTCAATAACTGCCTAGCCAACTTCTCACTGGACACTGCCTTGGTGTCTTCGTTATCCAACAGTACTCGTAGTGGTTTTGTTGCCAATTTCTTTACGTCCATTGAGACGCAGGCATGTACACGCTCGGACCAACGTGTGGTCGCTATCCAAACACCTACTCCAGAAGGAGAGGCAGTCTCCCACCGATCCTCTCCAACGATGACTGACACCAATGTGGTATATCTGCGTCCATCGCTGAGTTGAGCTCGGTGGACACCACGTCAGATACTGTCTTTCTTTATGTCTGAAATTTATGCTAGCTCAAAATAGGCGATTATCTGAGCATAGTTGTAGTAGGCGATCACCGTTATCTGTACGTTCAGCCGGGACTCCGGAAGTGCCACCTAAGTGCCTTTCTGCCTCACTCAGTCTACCCACCTGTGCACTGAAGTCACCTGCAACAACCACCACGTCTGAACGTTTGGCTTTCGAGAGGAGGCTAGATAGTTTACGGTAGAACTCATCCTTCACTTCATCCGAACTACAGTCAGTGGGTGCGTAAGCACAGATTACAAAGAGACAACGGCGAGTCTCACTAGTCCTTTTAGTTCTCACTGTGTCGTTCAGTCGGATAGCGCAGGGGCGACTATCAACTGAGATCCAGTCTAGTAGTGAGTTTTCTGCTCTGGTGCTTAGTGCTATACCTACACCTGCAAGACCATGAGAGCTAGCCAACGAATCTCCAGAAATTCAAAGGGTGAATTTCGCGGACTCACCAGATTGGCCGGGAGAGGTCAGGTGAATAACCCCACTTGGGTCCTGTATGAGAGTCTCACAAACACAGCACATATTCATGGCCTGAGCTGCTAGAGTCTTGGCCAATGAAACCAGTTGACCAATTTGACGGAGGGTGCGGACATTGAAGGCCCCGGTGTGTAATTTGGAACGTAGTTTAAGGAGACCAAGGATGCTGTTCTATGGATTCAGATTGTTGTCGTAGGCTGCAGAGCTAGGAGAAATTGAAGACGATGTATTATCGTTAATTGAGAGACGTGGAAGAAGATTGGCAGGTAATGACGACAGAGGTGGATAGCAGTCTGAAGAAACTTGGGTGCTGACAGAGTTGTGAGGGCGGCTGACACTTCCTGGTTGCTCATACCGTGGAAGGCTATTTCTTCTTAAGGTACCTGAAAGATATTTTTGTGGTTGCAGAGCCTATAGGACATCTGCTTCACGCTTGTCCCACCCAGCCTTTTGTGTATGGTTATTTTGAACTATTGTTGTTTTGGGGACGGATGGTCGATAAATGACAAATGAACCAACACCACCGGCCAGGCAGACCGCGGGGTATGGTGGAGTGTGTTATTTTTGGTGCCGACCTTTTCTAACCCCCCCCCCTTCCACTGAGAAGGCAGCATCAGCATGGCACTGCTGGTCTTCCAAGGGAAACACTTTACTGCTGTCACACCCCATCCAGCTAGTAGTTCGACTTCGCCCTCAGATCCCCATCATAGTGTAGTAATTCACACCACAACGGTAACTGCTTCTCGTCCAACCACTATCCAACAGACCTTTCTGGTATGGTATGACTTCGAGGAAACAAGTGGTTCACGAGCATAGCTCGTCAGGTCATTGTGGTATTCAAGCCCGACTACCACGTCAAGGTAGCTATCGGTCGACGTCATAGGGTTCGAAGATCGAAAGCTTTAATACGAGACTGACAGCGTGGTTTTAAGAGACTGAGAAAAGTGTTTTGCTGGCTTGTATCGTTAGTAATGTTCGCAGGATGGAAAGATGAAGAGAATATAAGGAGTCTGTCCTTCATATTATGAAGTGAAGACAAAGAAAGAGATACAGGTTAGGAAATTAGGTTATGATTAATTGCCTATTACAATATTAAAGTTTAATTTTAACCGTCAAATTCATTAGACAAGGTATTAGTTACAGTGAAAGATGCAATTCATAAGATGACACAAAACAACTGTCTATAAAATTAAATGTCTAGAATGTGAGGTTAGTTATATTGGTGAAAGTTTCAGATCCTTTAAAAATTAGGTAAATGAACACATTGTTTAGGAAGTGTCCACCAAAGAATCAAAATAACCTCAGAAACTTAAAAAAGCGATCAGCAATAGTTGGGCAAGCAATAGACGATGGACACATGATTGATTTTGATAATGTGGACACACTGGGTAAGGACTCTTATTCGCACAAAGAAAGCCTAACCTCAGAGGCTCTACATATTTTAACGCCAAATGCTATAGACAGAAGAAATGGAATGGATGTGTCACCTATTTGGCAAACATGGCTCTGGCAAAACCATTATTAATGACCTTTTCTAATTAATGCCGAAAGAACAACGATGCTTACTGATTGTATAATAAATAAATAATTTCATAAAGTATAAGAAATAACACATCTGACATTTACAAACACATTTTGACTACTCTACATTTTTCGTTGGCAGATGACAATAAGAAATAAGAAATTGTGATGACTAATCATCATTATCCAATCTGAACAACACACCACAACAAATGACCACATATTAAATATTTTATGGGCTATTTGACTTTATATTTCGATTGCTAATAAAATCCGGATATTTTTCTGAAGCCACAACTTAGGGAAGTGTTCCGGAAAATTTTGTTTTCACTTTTTAACCGCACTGGAATTACATTAAAATATGCTCTGATCATGGTTATTTGGGTACTGTACTCTGCCGTAAGTGTGCGGTTAGTGCTTCCCGGTTTCCCGCATCGTAGAACTTATTTTTACAAGGTACCTGAAGGACAAAAGGAATTAGTTTTACGTAACTGCAAAGTCCATTGGCAATCTGCTTGAAGCCAACCACATGGCGCTTTTAAAAATACTGGACTGAGATAAGATTGTGTTAAGTCGGGAAAAGAAAAACCCATACCACCGGCACTAGAATATCTTAAAGTAGAGACAAATGTGCTAATTTTGATGCCGAGCTTTCCTAACCCTCCTACTTCCCACAGGACAGCCAGCATAAGCATGTACTGCTGTTCATCCTTAGAAAACACTAATGCTGTCACACCCTATCCAACCAGCAGTACGACTTCACCTTCTGACCACAACCATAACTAAGCTATTCGCATTATCACGGTGACTGCTTAGTTGCCTTTTACTATTCAATAGATCTTGGCACGCTAAGATTTACAACACCAAGGACTCCAGCTACTGTAGCTTGTTGGATAACTGTGATCTGCAAGCTTGGCCACCATGACAAGATAGCAGCTATCGATTTGAAAAGTGCGTAGCCATACACATAAGGTGTGCATATGGCAACCGCTGCACTTGTTGAATTCTTCTACCTTCAGTTATGACCCACAGTGGCTTGGGTGTCATAGTAAATGTTTGGAAGCCACATAACAACCGTGCATATTTGTGCAGTAGGCAACGAGCCACACATTGTGTGAGGGTTAGTGATACTACCTGGTTGCCAAAACCTCGGAAGTTAAAGCAGGGCTCTAACCTATGATCCGACAGTTGTCAGTTATTTCCCGAAACCTGTGGTGCACAGAACAATCGCAACTCGGACTCTTAGAGGACAAGGTAATACGTAAAACTTAAAAAGTGGTGACATTCCCATTATCTATCTCTCAGTAAAACTTAAGAGATCACCGCTTAAGCGGCAGTCCCCCGTATGTATTTTGATTTATACACTCCAGAGTTTAGAGGCACGACCATACATTTAGTTTTTGAAATGACTGGTTTAACTTATGAGAAACAACTTCACAAACCAAACCTTTTCTCTTAGTTGCATTTTGGACAGAGCAGACGATCATATCAAAAACGTTTGGAATTGATCTACCTTTTATTCTTCTTCTAACTGAGTTTAAAAAAACTCATAAGACATAGCATGAGAGTGAAAGAACGAGAGACGAACATTTTACGCTGATTTACTAGTTTTAACATCGAGTAAGCCACCCGTGACTGACATCCCCAAACAGAAGTGTCTGTGTTATCAGTCAACTCGCTCAAGGGAAGAATGAACAAGTAAAGAAAGATGACAGGAGATCAACATATGTCCAAAGCCTTGTATGATAAAGTCAATATCCAGATCAGCAGTTCATCAGAAACGAACACATACCGTTTCTGTTCAGAACAGCTACAATATAAGTAGTACTTCAAGACAAGTTCGTGTCGATAACTACTTAGACAATATATTTGAAGGTGACAAACGAATTTTCGGAACGCCAGAGGTTAGCTTGGCATATACTTTTTTATGGTATAAAGTATTAGAAGGCATAAAACATGTATCCAACTATTCCGCCAAATACTAAGCATAGCAAGCTTTTTTACATCCTACACGCTATTTTGTCGGGTTTTAACCTGTATTTATTTTTCGCACTCACTCAGGACACAGTGACCACTCACTTAACGACTGCTTACTGCAGTGCATACATATTACATGAAATGGCAATCACTTTGGACTCACGTTAGAAGTCTTGGTTGTTGGAAATTTCAGAGCGTGGTGATAAATGGGAAACCGTCATGAACCAACCATTTAACACTAAGATTTTAGACCTGATCCGAATTCCCATTCAAAATTTCATGCGAACTACTGGAGCATTTTGGATAGCTTTCAGTTTCCGGTGTACACGAGCGTCTGACACATAGTGCACTGTTCTACGACCATGAGACTGTAAAATCCATTAAACAATGATTTAGAATTAAAGAATATGTCAGTGACTTGGATGTGAATCTTATTAGTGAGTCAAGTAATGTCTTAACAAAAATGTAGAAACTAGGTTAGCTTTGGTAACATACCCACCTGAAGAATGCTGGAACCAGAGTAGGATCGAGAATCAGGATCAAGTCCTCCATATACTGGTTTCGCATTTGGAAAGAAACCTCCCGGTTCATCATCATCGAAAGGGTTGAGTGATCTCCTCATAACCTTGAGTACTGCCACAGAACAAAACTCCCGCACCACAGCAATCAGAGACAATGATCCAATACTCATTATCATCTCACAACCTAGTTTAAAGCAATTGATTTCCGTTTAGTCTCGCTGAACGGTTCAAGGTCTTTGTTGGATCCCGATGCATTAGGTCCAACTGCTCGCCTTCTGAGTCTTTGTTAAGCCTAGCGAGTGGTTGGGTGTTGATGAAATTTGCAGGAATTGTATGACTTTTCTAAGGACTGGGGTGCAGATAGGTTCCTCAAGCGTCACAACAACAGACAGTTGTTCGGACTGCTTTTAAAAAGATGACAGAAAAGATGCTCAGCAAAATCAAGGGATAGGAAGTGTGAACAAGAAAACAAGGTGAGAGGAAATGGAATGGTAAAAAGGGAGAAACCGAGGTAGGCTGATGGAAGATAAGTGCACGCGAGGACCTTAATGAATGGAGTGAAATCATAGAGTCAAAAGGGGGACGAGGGGTAGATAATATTACAGGATGGATTATAGGAGGGGAAATAGTATTGTTGTTGTTGAGGGTACGGTAACTGGAGGTGGAGTGTGCAACATGGAACCTGAAAGTTTAGTCAGAGTGACGATCATAGTGACAGTACGAAGCATTCGGTAAATTGTTGACTGTGTCTGATCGTGCTGAGTTATTAGGTTGTGCCAATCCGGCCTGTACCTTAGCCAGATGAATGGAAGACGTGCGTTGCTATATCTTGAAGATGTCGACAGAGGGGGCGGTAGCAATCTCGGTAGGCAGTGAGTCCCCTGGCCGCAAACTCGCAGACAGAAAAAGTATGAGCGTTCAAGGCCTTCCGCGTTTGCTAGATGATTCTCCGTGGTCTTCCGCGAGGACTGCCACAGTGGCCGATGGGTTGGATTCCACCATCCAGATGGCGTACTGCCTTGTAAGCTATTATCGAGTCGTCACGTAAACTATGGCAACCAGGGAAGTAAAGCCATAGATATTTCTGTCTATACTCACAAGGCATTTTCCCCACTCCCACGACATACTTTGCTGATCACCTCTGGAGTTTCTACGGGAGGTACACATTTCTTTTCAGGTTTGCTGGTTGAATGAAGCTGTAGGTGAGGTCGTAAGTGGGCCTTGTACAGCTGCAAATAAAGTTCGGAAGTGGGAGCATGTGGCTGTCTGCGCACGAAGTAAAGTAGTTTGCTGGACCTTGAAGAATGGTAGGCCCACTGTCAGTATTATTCCTACCAGTGGTTATTTTATTCAGTCTCCCCTGGAGTTTAGTTTGTACACCCAAACAGCGAACGCCCCTTTCTCGTTTGAAAAGCTGCAGCTATTGCCTACTTGATGGTATCCAGATGGCCAGAAAAGCTGCTAAAAGAACAGACCTCTCAGTTTCCCTAATAATTTCAAGGAGAGAGAGAGAGAGACAATGGCCCTATTGTGACCCTTGTGGGGACTGTTGGCTAAATCAGAGTGCAGATGATCCTATGGCGCCTGAATCAACAGAAATGCTATCGAAGTTGTGGCCACCCACTGTCTCAATCCACCCCAGCCAGAGGATGCAGCAGGAACTGATAGTTTGTATGGTATGCCCCTTTGCTGACTATCACACACGCTGCTGTCATGGCCAACATTGCATCCGTCAAATTTATCCTGAGGAGATCCGACTCATTTTCGTCCTGAAGGGATACAAGACCCAAACTTTTCACAGCATGTGTGAGAGAAGGGAAAAGGTCTCTAACGACTATTTAACCCACTACCCAGTGGGTGTGGCTGTTGTGAACCTGATCACAGTGTGACACTGGAAGACATTGTGGGATTGCAGAAGAATACTGATAGCTGAACTGTAGTTATTTGGCACTCCTCCCACCGTGGCCGTGCGAAACTGTGAGGGGCATTGGTTGCCTAATATAAATTTTGCATCCAGCAACATGGCTGTTGAATCAACCATCCGCCACTTTACTTAACTTTGACGAACTTCCAGTAGCGCTAGTGCCATTGTGTCTATCTGTATGTATTTCACCGTGCTCTAATTCCCATGTTTTGGCAGCCTTTGCAAATTGCCTACCCTAATCACTCATATTTGGTCAGACTATTTTGGGGAATGAATATGCAAACTATCACCTTCTATGCACTGAGAATTCTATCAGTAAGCATCACTCAGACAGGCTGGGCGTCCTCTCAGGAATGATTGCAGTTGTTGTGGAGTATCATATGCGAGTATTTTGAGGTACATAGAGAAAGGCCTATTTTATGATGGGAAAACAGTTTTACGATACAACATCGAGGATTAGCCAAGGCTGAGTCCCCCAAGCGCAAGTCACTAGGAAAAGATGGGAATCTGTTGATACATTTGTCAAAAAAGAACTTTCAAAGGTCACACGCATTCGCCTGCTTCATAAAAGTTTGTGCATAAAATTTGCGGCAGTTTCCCTTGCTACTTCCGGCTGAACATCCCTGAACATCTTTAAACAGGCAAGCAGGGGAGGGGCATAGAAGGATTCCAGAACAAAAATGAAAGGAAACTGATACATCCAAGTAGACTTCTTCTAAAATATCAAATGTATGAAAAGATCCCACCATCCATTTTCCCGCATTGTGTATATTGTGCCTGACACCATAGCGATAGGTTCAAGCCACGATCGGATGAAGCCACGATACGATGTAAACAGAGAAATCACAGACAACACCACTTATATGGATACTTCAGTTGATGATAATGACTCCTTTGGATGCAAACAATTACAACTAGTAACATAATCATCACATTAACTTTAACCCATCATAACTTTAAGTAGAAACAATTTTCTGGTGGCCTATACCAAATCCTGATTCTATATATTACTAATCCACCAGCGTCCATATGTGCTCTGCCTGCTAACGGTGCAGACCCATGGCACGTTTGAAATTGTGTTACATTTTAACGTGCTTTCGTAACTGTATCATAACTTTGTTATTAACGTCATCGTAAAGCTATTGAATTGTCAAATGACTAATCACATATCAGACATGCAACTAGATATGGCTAATGCATGTAAAAGGGCACGGACACAACTGTCTGCGGAACAGTGCATCAACAGTACCCAAGTGTTGGTGACGCCAAAAGCAGATTCCTCTTGCAACAGCATAAATGAGTCAGCTTAAATTCCAGTTATGCTCAAGAGAGGAGAACTGCGTTCGATAAGACAACCAACGTTAACATTGATAGAATTACCTCTGCATGTTCAAAGTGTAATAAGACCGCAACACTGAATGTTGCAGCAGACATAAGCTTAGTGGAAGCTCCACGTCTTTTGTGAGACTAACTAGACTTCAGCCACCAAGTGTGTCATTGTTACCTCTTCCAGAAATCGAAAGCCTGAAGTCCTCATAGAGGGCAGAGGTAGGCAGACTGAAGGATGACAAACAGAATAATGCACCACAAGAAAGTATGTTAAGGGCGTTCGAGGTGTCACCCCAGCTGGATGAAATTAGAGCTCAGATTAGCAACCTCTTGCCACTGAGCATCTTGACGCGTAGTGAATCCATTAATGAAGTTGACATCGAAACACTATCCAAGGTAGATCACCTGGTAAACTTTATCACCACTGAAGTAAGTAAGAGACTTGCACTTAAATTGAACGCAATAGTTTATAACGTCCCTGACACGACAAAGTTGAAGGCGGTGGGAGAAATTTTGCTTAGAACAGCAAAAATGCATGATGTCCAAGCAAAATGTTTCCGACTAAAGAAAAGCCAGCAGGACCACTGCTGTCCGATACGCTTTCAATTTAAATCACAGATAGAAGCGGAAGCATTCATCAAAGCAGAATCTATCTTAGCAAAAAACACTGTCTTCACAGGAATAAAGATAGTTCTTGATAAGACAGTGGTGGAGAGGCAGGTATACAACTGTGCTCATAGACCTGACAGTCAAAAGGCTCCAAAGCTGCAACATACTAAAGCAGTAGGTATCTCCCCAATATACCCAAGCCTAGGACTTCTCCTTCCACAAACTCTATCAAGTCAAATATACGGAAAAACACACCGACCAACGTGGAGATGGAAGACTGCGAAATGCATGATTTGACTCAACCACCTGAAACTGTAGATCTAGACGTATCCATAGAAAGCCCAAAGTGAAACCTGACACAGCACTAAACGTGACAGAACTCTCGCTGAGGTCTGCTGGAGGCCTAAAGTCTACTAACCACACCAGCCTAGGATATCGGCCACTCGATATGCAACAGATAAACCAATGCTCCCATGGAACCCAACACGTAGAGACGGACGCAGAAAGCATATAATGATCCGAAGTGATCCCGTAATCCCTTCTGGAATTGACAGAAGTACGAACAGTAGCTCTACCAAGAAGGTTCTATGCACTGAGCTAAGTCTCACTAGTAACAAGAACAAAGACGTCAAAACAACCCAACCCTATCGTTTACTAATGAGAAAAGCCAACATCAAACCACTTATAAGAGAATGTCAGTGGGGTACTTTGTGAGGAAAAACTGGTCGGCTGCATGGCACTAGTTTACTAGGAGACAGCCCCCGATCCAACATAACGCCAGTTACGTCCGTTGTGAATTGTAACAGAAGGCAGTCACTGGTAAGGAATACGACACAGGACAGAAGTTTACATGGACCACAAAAACACGATGATTTTTATCCAATGCATCCCTATCAGTTGCAGCTTTGGCCAAACAACTGATGGGGATGTTGAAATCCCTTACTCTGAACCGCTAATCTTAGCACCCTCGGAGCAACAGAAAAGACACAGTCAACCATACACACAAATCCTAGACAACAACTACCCAAGTGGTGTCAACAGATGCGAAAGCACAACAGGTCTGTTGAATCCTCCAAGTGGCATCACCAGCCCTACACACCCACCACGTACAATGGTAGAACTACCTACCCTCTGTGCAACAGATACTAGAGACGACGCTTGCATGAGGTCAAACTCTGTTTGTTTGGATACAATGTGCACACTGAACACAAATAAAAACATAGCTCTGTTCTCCCTTGA